ACGGGAGCAGAGGTCCCTGCAGTTCCCGCAGGTGCTCATCAGATCTGGCCATACCCACCTGTGCGCTCTCAACCCAAACTCCGGAACACCCCATGGAGCATGCCCAGGACCAGCCAATCAGCCCCGCCACTGTAAGATCGACCGCTTCCGGGAACGCCCAAGAGGCCGGCGCCGGGCGCGGAGAGGCGGGGAGACGCCGAAGCTCCGCCCCAAGTGTTTCCGGCAGGGCGGGGCCAGCGGTGGCGAGGGAAGCGGTAGGACAGAGCCGTGCGTGTGGGCGGTGAGTGGGACAGACGCTGGTCACTTACCAGCTCCTGGCGCTAAGAATCTGAAACTTGCGTCTGGCGAGCCACTGTGCGGCAGCTACAGAACCGCTGGCTCACGGGGTGCTCTATGAAGGCCATGTCTGCCGAATCTAAAGAACTCGTCCCTAGCTCCCGCAAAGCGAAAGCATGGCAGGTGCCCTTCGGGACCATCGGTCACCGCCGCACAGAGCAGTGAATTTCCAGTCGAAAGGCTCCCATCCGGACTGCTCTGGGCCTCCGTTTTCTTAAGGAGAAAAGAGCCTCAGAAGAACTGCATTTATGTTGTCTAAGACACTCACTCAAGGTACAGATGTCTAGGTCCTATTTCAGACCCTGCCAAATCGGAACTAGGACTGGGACCCAGGCTATAGCCAGGAGATAGGGATTCAATCAGATCTCCGTCACTTGCTGCCTCACCAGATGCATTGCCAGGATCCCATGTGGAATGCAGGCATCCCAAGCGGTGGCTTTACCTGCTATGTCACACCTATCCCAGGATTCTAACACAGGTGTCTGGTTGTCAATTTTGATGCTCAGCCAGGGATGGAAATCACAGGGTTAGATGACATTCATAGTCCTTTTGTTCCTTTCCTCTGTGAGGACACATTGGTCTCCGAGACACCTTTCATAATAGCTACAGCGATTTAAATATCTTGGAATAAATTTAACCAGGGAAATCAAAGATATCTACAAATGAAAATTATAAAACATTAGAGAAAGAAAAAAGACACACAAAAAATGGAGGAATCTTCCATGTTCAAAGACAGGAAGAATTTATATCATCAAAATGCAATTTTGATGGATTCAATGGCAATTTATGGATTCAATGCAATACCAATCAAAATACCAATGACATTCTTCTCAGGTCTAGAAAAATTCATATGGAAACACAAGAGACCCCCAAATAGGTAAAGCAAACTTAAACAGCAAAAACAAAGCCGGAGACCACAATACCAGACTTCAAGACATACTACAGGGCAGTTATAATCAAAACAGCCTGGTACTGGCACAAAAATAGACATGTAGACCAATGGAACAGAATAGAAACTCCAGAAATCAGTCCATGCATCTACAACCAATTGATGCTTGACAATGGAGCTAAAATCTACCCCTAGAGAAAGGACAGTCTCTTCAACAGTGGTGCTGGGAAAATTGGATGTCTGCATCCAGACACATGAAACAAGACCCCTACCTTACACCTTATACAAAAGTCAACTGAAAATGGATCAAGGATCTAAACCTCCAACCTGGTACCATCAAATCACTAGAGAAGAGCACTGGGGAACTCTGCAAGACACAGGCTTAGGCAAAGACTTCTTGGGAAAGACCCCAGGAGCACAATCAAAGCCAAAATAGACAAATGGGATTGCATCAAGCTGAGAAGCTTCTGCTCTGCAAAGGAAACACTCAGCAAAATAAAGAGGCAATTGACTTGTTGAATTCTCTATTTAGTGGAACATTAAGGTTGTGATTATAAAGTAAATTGAAAGTACATTATTATAAAAATTAAAAGAAAAGTAAGAAGGGAAGGGAGAGAGAGTGTGGGAAGTATTGTTACTTTCTTACAACTTTGTATATGAGATACATAAAATCTGTAATTCACATACAGATTAAGTTGAGTAAATAACTTTATTTAAAACATACTTCTGAATTGGAGTGAGCATGTTGTTTATCGCTGTTTCTAGGATGATTAATAACTTACAAAATAAAAAATACAATAAAATATTTTCATTATTAAAAAATAAAAAATTTTAGTGGCCATATAAAAAGAAACAAGTGACATATTAATGACACATTTTATGTAATTCAACCTATCCAAAATATTATCATTTAAATATAGTAACTACTATGAAATTATTAATGAACTATTTTACATTCTTTTTTCATCATAAGTCTTTGAAATTTAGTGAGTACTTTGCCCTTACAGCAACCCTTAATCTGAGCTAGTCACATTCCAGTGAACAGTAGCCACAGTGCCTAGTGACAGCACAGTTGTAGACCCAATTTCCAATTTGACCAAAATGAGGGAACTTAGGAACCAACTGCATTATAACATAATCAAACAGAAGCATCTGGAACAAAGTGAGAAAACCATTTGTGCAAGGAGCCAGATAGTAAATATTTTATGCTTTGCAAGACACATATGGTTTCCATTACATACTCCTTCTCTTCCTCCTTCCTTCTTTTTCCTCTTCTTTTTTACAACACCTTAGAAAGACAAAAACTAATCTTAGTTCTACAAAAACAAGCCATAGTCTGTCTCTCCCTGATCTATAATATGGGACATTCTATGAAGCAACTGACCTGGATTTCTCAAAAAGTAATGTTCTGGAGAATAAAAACCAGAAAGAACCAGAACCATTCTAGGATTGCCAGAGTCTAGTCACTGGAGTCAAGAGTATAAAGAATGGGGATGAGATGAAGTGAGAAAGGAGTGAGCTAGAGCCAGAACATTGTTTGGTTCATCAGGCCATGGCAAGATCAGTGAGAAGCCACTGAAGGTTTTTTTTTTTTTTTAAGGTTTTAAACAAAAGTTTAACCATTCAACCATGTTTGGCACAGGCGTAGGGCACCACTGGGGGTGCCGACATCCGATATTGGAGTGTCTCAGTTCAAGTGCTGGCTCTGCTTCCAGTTCCAGCTTCCTGATAATGTGTACTCTGGGAGACAGCAGATGGTAGCTCAAGTACTTGGGTCCCTCCCACTCATGTGGGAGACCTGGATTGGGTTCATGGCTCCTGACTTCAACCTGGCCCAGCCCAAGATAGTGAGAGCATTTGGGATAGATATTTACGTGTGTGTGTGTGTGTGTGTGTGTACCTTTCAAATAAGATGAAAATAAATAATAACTACTAAATCCCAGGCTGGCGCTGTGGCTCACTTGGCTAATCCTCTGCCTGCAGTGCCGACAACCCATATAGGCGCCGGGTTCTAGTCCCGGCTGTTCCTCTTCCAGTCCAGCTCTCTGCTGTGGCCCCGGGAAGGCAGTGCAGGATGGCCCAAGCGCTTGGGCGCCTGCACCCACGTGGGAGACCAGGAGGAAGCACCTGGCTCCTGGCTTCTGATCGGTGTAGCTACAGCCGTAGCAGCCATTTGGGGGGTGAACCAATGGAAGGAAGCCCTTTCTCTCTGTCTCTCTCTCTCTCTCTCATTATCTAACTTTACCTGTCAAATAAATAAAAATTTTTTTAAAAAAACTAAATTCCATTTAAATCTATCCCAGGCATTAATTATTAAATAAATCAGTGAGCCTGAATCATGATGCAAAATTGTTTACTAAAGCATTTCATTTATAATACTTTCTACTTAGAAGATTTCTTCCTGTGTTGTTACATAATGCATTTTCTGGCTATGTTTGAAATATAATTGTTTTAGGGTACCTGGATGGGAAATATGTAACACACTGATGAGATATCATTAGAAAAACCTAAACATGTTATTGGGGCAGTAAGGAAGGAATAATGTTAATAGTATACTTATGAGGTAAAGGATGCAATTAAGATGTAGTTATGAAAATGGTGGTTTCACAGTAATGTGAAAAACACTTATTAACTTATCATAATGAATGGGTAAACTAGCATTTCATATGTTTTGTCTATTAAAGTAGGGTCCAAAGGGGAATGGTAAAGTTAAGACAAAATTGAATCAATAAGGCATTACCATATAGAATAGCAATTGTATACAGAGCAGAAATGCTTAAAAAAAAAAAAACACATAGATTCCATTCAGTAAATAGATTTGCATATGTCTGGCATGCAGTAGTACTGCCTATTAATAGCTGGTTCTATTTCTATGCACTCAATAGGACTGTATGTCCCCATTGATTTGAAGTTCATCGTGGCCTTCTGACCTGCTTTGGCCAGTGAAATGAAAGCAACACATCACTTGAGAGAGAAGGCCCTTAGTTCCGAGTACTCAATCTACTCCAGACTATTCCGTATGTGCAATCATGAGACACTGAGTAATGGACAATTGCCCTGGAGGGTTATGTGAAACTGTAGTAACTTTTGAATAAATGAGAATAAATCTTTACTGTGTTAGTCCTCTCAGGTTGTGGAGTTGTTTCTTATATCATCAAAACTAGCCCCATCCTTCCTGAAACAATGCTAGTCATGTACTAAATGGCTGTGTTTGGTGACCACAATTAGAGACAAAAGGAACTAGTTAAGGGCCTTGCCATAAAGTTTCTTTTTTATTTATTTATTTATTTATTTATTGACAGGCAGAGTGGACAGTGAGAGAGAGAGACAGAGAGAAAGGTCTTCCTTTGCCATTGGTTCACCCTCCAATGGCCGCCGCGGCAGCACGCTGCGGCCAGTGCACCACGCTGATCCGATGGCATGAGCCAGGTACTTATCCTGGTCTCCCATGGGGTCAGGACCCAAGCGCTTGGGCCATCCTCCACTGCACTCCCTGGCCACAGCAGAGAGCTGGCCTGGAAGAGGGGCAACCGGGACAGAATCCAGTGCCCCGACCGGGACTAGAACCCGTTGTGCTGGCGCCGCAAGGTGGAGGATTAGCCTAGTGAGCCGCGGTGCCAGCTGCCATAAAGTTTCTATAATAAGTAATAACATGTGGATATTGGAAGTTAATGGAACAAGACTCAAAAAATGCACTGGTGGTGGGCCACTGCTCCAGAGGATCTTAGAATTCTGAAACACTATGATGGAATAATGAAGAGCCAAAATGGACATGCAGAGGCATAAAATCCCCACTTACAAAGAGTTGACATCCTTCTAGCTCCATAATTCTCTCTGGGAATTCAGACCCCTAGTCACTGGTGATATATGAAAAGGGAGGAAAAGATACAAGGCAAAAGGTTTTCTGGTCTGTTCAGTTTATTCACATTATTTTATCCAATGCATTGTCTTTATATTAAAAATGAGGTTAAGTATAATGTACAACTGACATGAGCATTTAAGATAAAAGATAAATCTTAAAAGTAATTCTGCTTTTGAGTAGACAGCCTAGGCAATACCTCTAGTGCCCATGGGAACCGTTGACCTTTCTTGGCCACATATGTATGACTCAGAGGAAATTTTTAACTAATTAATTAATACTGACATTAATTAAGGCTTTGCCTATAAATGTTTCATGCAAAGTAAAGGCCCAATCTTCTCCATTCATAATGCATTATTACATAAGTTTTCACTCAAGCTAAATACAGTAGAGTTGAATGCAGACTCTTACATATCATTTTTGGCATGAGTCTGTAGGTTGTGAGAGAGTGTGTTGATTAAAAATTAATGCCTCATTAAAAATATTTTCTAGGAACTCCTTTCCAAGCAAATAGGCCACAATCAAGGTGAAGCACTAAAGTGAAAATATAGACTGTGCTGTCACACAGAAAGAGTACTGGAATCAATCCCTAGGTGACCTGATGATTTTCATGCATAAGGCAATTGATGGAAATTTTTCATCTCTTCTTATATGGTAAGTCAAAAAAATAATAAAACATTGCAGTATTAGAAGAAGAAACAGATGATTATAATTCATTTTTTCAGTTAATCAAGTATCTCAGTTAAAGAAGTATCTCAGGACAGCCACTGTCCCATGTCATGGAGAATAGCAGTAAACAAAACAGCCCAAATCACTGTGCATCCTCGCAAGAGGAGAGATTCAAGGAACAGACAAATAGAAATATCAGGTGATGATGGGTATCAGGGTGAAAATAGAAGAGAGTAAGGGGATAGAGACTGATTAGAGTGAAGGCTTGATATTGCAGATAGACTGATCCATGGAAACAGAGACAGATATAACTTGAACTTGATGAGACAATATGTGACTACAGCTATGGAATGAATGATTGTATTGGGAGTATGCGAAAAGCTCTGTGCTATATAAAACATAAACAACAATAAGTAAAGAAGACTGATTTTGGGAAAAACAAATATACTTGAGCATTGCATAAGGTCAGTCTTTTTGTAGAAGAGAAACTGTATTTAAGGCCAGCGCCGCGGCTCACTAGGCTAATCCTCCGCCTTGCGGCGCCGGCACAACTGGTTCTAGTCCCGGTCGGGGCACCGTGATTCTGTCCAGGTTGCCCCTCTTCCAGGCCAGCTCTCTGCTGTGGCCCGGGAGTGCAGTGGAGGATGGCCCAAGTGCTTGGGCCCTGCACCCCATGGGAGACCAGGAGAAGCACCTGGCTCCTGCCATCGGATCAGCGCGGTGCGCCGGCCGCGGTGCGCCAGCCACGGCGGCCATTGGAGGGTGAACCAATGGCAAAGGAAGACCTTTCTCTCTGTCTCTCTGTCAACTCTGCCTGTCAAAAAAAAAAAAAATCCTAAAAAAAAAAAAAAAGGAAGTGATGAAGAACAAGTTTAGAATGATGAGAAGCAAAAGGGGAGGAATTACCAAAAGGGGAACACAGAAACAGTGCACTGAAGAGAAAGGAAGTAGATGCAGGGCAATTTCAAACAGAAGCAGTTGCAGGGAAATTTGAAAAGAATTTGGAAATTCTTCTTTAAAAAAAGCCTAATGTTATAGTAGGTCGTTTCTCTCAAGGACAGATTTCATTGAGGAATACAAAAATCTCTGAAATTCAGTTTTTGATGAAAGAAAACACAGAGCATTTGAAGAATGTAAAGAAAATGCTTTCACACTCAGAAAATAGAACACTTGTATATATTTTCTTCTTCCCTTAATTATAAACAGTAATAATAAGGACTATTACTGAGTTCTCACAATGTGCTTTCATAACTCATTAACAAGGGCCTTATAAAGCAGGTGCTATTAAAATGTCAATTTTACCTATTGAGGAAACTGCTCTTGAGAAGTTATATAACTTTCTTACTACTGGAAGTAGTTCAGGCAGGATTTGAACCTAGTAAGTCTGGCTCCAGTGTCCACGTAATCTGCTATTTGCTACATTTTCAGGCACAGCTCTGGGTTCTAAGCATCTGTGCATGTACCCAGGACACTCTTGGAATATGTAAGAAGGCATATATAGGGGTCGGCGCTGTGGCTCGCAGGTTAATCCTCTGCTTGCGGTGCCAGCATCCTGTATGGGCACCAGTTCTAGTCCCGGTTGCTTCTCTTCCAGCCCAGCTCTCTGCTGTGGCCTGGAAAAGCAGTGGAGGACGGCCCAAGTGCTTGGGCCCCTGCACCCGCATGGGAGACCAGAGGAAAGCACCTGGCTGCTGGCTTTGGATCAGCGCAGTTCCAGCCATTATGGCCACTTGGGGAGTGAACCAATGGAAGGAAGACCTTTATCTTTGTCTCTCTCTCTCTCACACTGTCTGTAACTCTGCCTGTCAAATAAATAAATAAAATCTTTTTTAAAAAAAGGCATGTATAAGGGAATGTCAAAAATCTGTAGGAAATGGAATTAAAAGCATGAATTTATTTTGTTAAAAAAGATTCATACTACGTGGCAATGTGTATTATGCAAAAACCCATACATTTCCAAAATATGTTGGCACCAAAATAAACTCTTAATTTAATTTTTATTTTCACTAACTTTGTATTGTGCTAAAAATAAACTGTCTTGAGAGACTGGTATTGTGCAGTGGGCTAAGTTGCCGCTTTTCACACTAGTATCCAATATCAGAGTGCCAGTTTGAGTCCTGGTTGCTCTGCTTCTGATCTCATTTCCTGCTAATGTACCTGGGAAAGTAGGGAACACGTGGGAGACCAGGATAGGGTACATGACTCCTGGTTTCAAACTGGCCCAGACTTAGGGAGTGAACCACTTCTCTTTCTCTCTCCCTTTCTCTCTCTCTTTCTCTCTCTCTCTCTCTCCCTCTCTCTCTCTCTTCCTCTCTTGTCTCTCCAACTCTGTTACTCTGACTTTCAAATAAATAAATAAATCCTTTCAAAAATCTTTTTGATTTCTTGCTTTTATTTTGTTTGAGATCTATAAAACAGACACACACTTCTGTGGGACCTCAGGGTAAATTTAAAACAATTATGAAGCTACCACATCATTGGGTCAGCAATAAAGGATAAGTAACTAACTGCAAGGAGGTTACTCGATTTTCTCCCTACTGCTGAATCAGTGTACTCAGCAGTCTGTGTGTAGGAGAAGTGAATGCTGTGTCTCTCTTTCTTGCCTGACTCTGTTTTATTGAGATTATTTTTGATTGACACATTTTCCATAATCTTTGATCATGCCTTAATATTTTCAGTAAAACAACTTCCTTACATCACTCTTCAGAAAAACTTAAGAGTAACATCTATTATCCCTTTGCTAAATGATATCAGTGTCAACTGGTATGAATAAACAGTTTTCAGGGCATTTCTGTAGTAGAGAGATTCACCTTAATAAGATATCAATATATTTAACTAATCCCTAACATATATATGTTCTTCCTCTTCCTCTGAAATAGCTCTATGAATTGTCTCCTCATTATTACATCACATCCAGCTCCATCCCCATGGTGTGTGAGATTCCACACAATTATTACTTATACAGTCTCTGTGTGGATAAAGAATTTAAGCCACTCCAAATCATCATATCAAAAAATGAAAAAAAAAAAGACAAAACAGAGAAGAAAAGCAAACTAAACCAGCATGTCAGTGCCATTTTCAAACAACACTTAACTAAGAAACCTGCATTGCCCAGTGGGAGTGACTGGCTTGCTACTTCACATTCCCAAATACTGAGCCTGACCCCCAAGTCCCCAGGATGACTGCATGAGTCATGGAACTCCTTAGGGCATCTAGTCGACCCTGTCCATGGACCAGAATGCCAGGGAGCACCATAAAACGGAAAAACAGATACTGGGACTCATGCAGGATTCCAGTCCGAGTTTGAAACACAATACCCAGAAGACATTGCCAATCACAGCTGGTCCCAAGTGTCAAAAGAGGTCTTAGTGGCCGGTGCCGCAGCTCACTAGGCTAATCCTCCGCCTTGCGGTGCCAGCACACTGGGTTCTAGTCCCGGTCGAGGCACTGGATTCTGTCCCAGTTGCCCCTCTTCCAGGCCAGCTCTCTGCTGTGGCCCGGGAGTGCAGTGGAGGATGGCCCAAGTCCTTGGGCCCTGCACCCCATGGGAGACCAGGATAAGTACCTGGCTCATGGCATCGGATCAGTGTGGTGCACCGGCCGCGGCGCGCCGCGGCGCTCTGGCCGCGGCAGCCATTGGAGGGTGAACCAACGGCAAAAGGAAGACCTTTCTCTCTGTCTCTCTCTCTCACTGTCCACTCTGCCTGTCAAAAAAATTAAAAAAATAAAATAAAAATAAAAAAAGAGGTCTTAGAAGGCTTGAGGATGGCACTTCATAGAATGAGGTGCCTTAAGGCCTAGTGCTAAGGTTAGGAGTTCTGCTTGCTCAAGTCTAAGAGTCACACTGATACCATAACTATACCTTTCTCATCTAACTTACCATGACTTTCTCATAGCTGAACTCACACCTTCCACCTTGTTTCCTTTTGGGTCTATCATCCTCACAGTACAAACACATGATTAATATTTTACTGTCTAAAATTGTGCCATCTTCCCTTTTATTGATTTTACTGAATAATAACTCCTCTGTATTATTCCTCATTTAGATATGGTCTAGATCCATACCTTCTCATCTACTCAGGAACATAACAACTTCAGCAATTCTCCCCTCTCTCTGCTGACTTATTGCTATCAGCACAGCAGCGTGTCTTCAAGCACACCGTTTCTCTCTCCTAACCTTCCACACCAGCCACCTTCGCAAGTCCTTGTTCCCCTGCAGCAAAAACCACTCAAAGAGTTGCCTGCACTTACCTCCTGTTCCTCTTTTCCAGTGCTCACTTGGGCTTTACTTGGGTATGCTCTGCATAAAGGCATTTCATGGAGGGGCACAGGGAAAGGCTGTACTGTGGTCGGTTCTCTGCTTGCCAAACAGTATGCCTGACACCAGATGTGATCATTCTTAGGGAAGGAATATTTCCAAATTGGTCTATCCAGGGGTACCACCAATGCCAATGGTCAGACTAAAATGGACACCTCTTTATAATTCTAGATAATTCTAGAAAAATCCTGTATGTGTTTAGGAGAGACTCATTCTCCTGCTTGGTTTATTTATTTATATTTATTTATTTGAAAAGCACAGCAGCAGTAGCAGCTGGAGAGTGAGAGAGAAAGAAAGATTTCCCGTCTCCCATCCAGTGATGCACTTCTCAAATGCCCACTAGGCTGGGGCTGGGCCAGACCAAAACCAGGAGCCCAGAACTACATCCAGTTCTCCCATGTGGTTGGCAAAGACCCAAATTCTTGAGCCACCACTTTGCCTCCCAGGGCATTAGCAGGAAGCCATATTGGAAATGAAGAACCTGGGACTCAAACCAGATACTTTGATACAGGATGTGAGAGTCCAGCTGGCATCTTAACTGCTGTACCACACCCCACCCTCTCCTGGTTTTAAATTTACCCATCCCAGTCAGGCTTACCTCCCCATCAGCTCCATGAGACTCCTCTGATTCAAGGACTGCAATAACCTCCACATGTGTAAATCCAAT